CAGTGAGTTGATAGCAAATGATAGTGCTCCTGTTTATTTTATGATATTATATATGTGCAAGCATAATTCAAAGATAACAATTCATAAATAAAGAATTTCATGATTTTCATATTCAAAGATATTTTATAGAAAAATACATTTTATATAAATAGACTTTTCATACGTACAGCTAGTGTGCTTGTTGTAAATATTTATTAAATAAACATAAACATATTCTTTGTTAGAAATTTTCCTGTTTCATGGCATTAATCAATTAATCTTGATTGTATTGAAAAAGCTTATCTAGAAACTTAGAAAGTAATCTTCATTGTATTGATTGTAACGCTGACCACTGAAGATTAAAGCATTTTAAATATGAAACTTAATCGAAAGTGCATTATGAAGATTACATTGAACAAATAACGGTGAAAAAACATAGAACAATTTTAACGCGCAATCTATTAGAAAAGATAGTTTGTTGAGTTCAACTCATTCTTTCTATGTAAATGTTTTCCAGCTCAGGTTCGTTTATTCATTTCTTAAAGTAATATTGGAGTTAAATTTAAAAAGAATGATTTTAATTAGATTCTTATTATTTCAATTCTTGCTAATTTTGCATATTGAACCATTCTATGCCTTTTGAATTGTAAAAATTTTAAAATTAAGAATGCCTAAACTGTAGAAACTTAAAAGTCAACATAGAGGGAAAGAATTTTAGCACAATGGAGTGTCCAACATAAATATCGGAGGTATTTACTGTGAGTTTGTCTTGGAGGAGAATACTACAAATACTTCCCATTATAATACAAAAATATATTTGCTAAAGACCTGCAGAAATACTTACTGTCACGAGTTACTTCGAAAATTCGAATACTGATGTCAATAAGTTGGATTTAAGAGAGAGTTCATTTTTTAAATATTACACTTGAACATTTTTAATGCTTTTCGATTTGATATTCATCTAAACTTTAGCAATTTTACATGTAACAAATTTACAAAATTTTTCTTTTCCTTTTCTTTGTTTTAAATTAAGTGAAGCTTTTTAACGTGTGTACGTTGAGTTTTCGCAACAAACTCTGATTTTCTAATCCCTATATCTTTGCAACCTGATGGTGTAAGCCTTTAATATTTGATCTAACAGAATTTATCGTTAGAAAATCTAAGGTCATTTCAAAAATCTTTTAAACCGAAAATTGAACATTCATATTTTTTTGTATCTTGAAAACTTTTTTGGAAGATTTATTGGCAGTAAAAAGAATGCAAAAACAAAATTTAGTAAATAAGAAAAATAAAAGTTCCTGTAAAGAACAATTATCAAGCCTTAACTTTTATATTAAATATGCATAAAGATATCGTTTAATTGCAAAAAGTGACTAAAGAAGGCAAACTCTACAGGTAAAACAGTTTTCTGTATAACCTATGTACGTATGTACACTATCATACACGGGGGAAAAGCTAGGCATGGGGTAGGGGATTTTGCCTGTTTGTGTGAGGTCCTAAATACCATGATGGAGACACAAAGCCAGAGATAACATTATGCCACTCTCAAAATATTTAGAAGTCACTCCCAACAGCTCCAGCCCTATTCAACTTCTCATTTTGTTAACTACTCCATATTGTCCCTTGTGAAATATTACTCAATAATGTCGCACCCTCCGACCTCGACCAATGAGAAGAGAGAATGGAATGGCGACGACCAATGAGTGCTGAGAATTGTAGGTGTGGGGGATCTATTGTGATTTGGATCGTGAATACTGTGAATAGGAGTAGAAAAGATGTGTCTAGCCTTGACAGATTTCAACCACTAGGAACGCCTATTGTGCTGCCGGGAGCCCCCTCTGCCTGACTGGGGGGTCTAAAAAGGATATGTCAGGATTTAACTAACTGATATTCTAAAATTGCTCTACAAGGAAGAATTATACAAGACTTTGCATTTTTATCATTCAAAAGTTTTTGATAATAAAACTATTATGTTTAAAAAAGATCAAATACCTTATTTACGTTAATAGCTGATTTTTTTTGGCACAAAAAGTCTTTATGATCCTTTACGAATTTATTTAACTGTGTATTAAAACTTGTAAGGTAAAAGTGGTCTGATGCTGGGGATATTTGGTTTGGAAGGGTCTGTTATTGTGTGTGATGTGTATGGGGTTTGATGTCTAGGACCTGTTTGCTATGTGAGTGGGATCTGTGCGCATAGAGAACTTTTACTGGATGGGTTTCGTCTAATAATTATACATTCTATTATATATGCTAGTTTGGGTACCCAGCTTTGCCTGAAGATCTAAACAATTTTTTAACCCATGGAAATCAAACTTGCGTGTGTTTTGACGAGTTACCAAATCAAAGATTAAGGAAAATCGTCCAGAGGGTTCACGAGTTTTGATTAGACAGACAAACAGACAAGTCAGATTATTACTACTTTATATACATTAATCAAGGTTCTGGCCGGTTGGTAAGCGCCTGGATGAATTTGACCAGAACCTGGATAAACAGAAAATATTTCTGTCAATTGCATTTAGTCTAATAAATTCATAAGGGTACATAATTTAAAGTTACTTTGTCTGATCAAGAATGAATTAGATATTCATCTTATTTTCTTTGAAAATTTCTTTTTTTTTCTTGCATTATATATTCCAAACTTTTGCTCAGATATAGGGTTGAATGGTAACACTTCCCTCTTTAATTGAAAGTTCACTTGAAGTTAGAACTTCTGTCCCTTTCAGCATTGAAAGACGAAAATCCAGTTTTCTGCCTTCAGGTTGAGCTCTATACAGTGAGCTCCAATATTACTTAATCTTCCGACATGATAACTATAATATCAAAATGGCGACAGGTAGCCAGGAGGTCAGGGGGTTGGGTCCATCCGCCTAAAAAGTAGGGATTGACATCAGCTAAACAGTAAACTTGGTTTTGCCAAGACACATAAAGGAAATGAATCTATGTAACAAACTTAGAAAATCATCTTTGCGACCCAATGACATCGACCTTCAGGTTGCTAAGATATAGGGGTAGGAAAATTTGAGCTTGAAGCAAAGACATCATTCCTTTAACAAAAGTTGTAAGAAGGTAATTGTTTCTGTTAATGACTAATGGTTAGAATGTTGATAAGTAATAATTTGCACTCATATTAACATTAAAATGTTTTTTAAACGAACTGTATTAAGTAAATATAATCTAAGAATTTCTTTTCCTTAAAATAAAAACGAGGTCACCATGTGGTGCAAGTATTTCAGCATAAAAGAATTGAGTTTTTGTTGCAAACTCAAATTTGCTAATTCCTATATCTTTGCAACCTGATGGTATAGATCAATGGGATGTCAAACTCAGAATTATTTGATCTAACAGAATATATTTTTTTCAAATATTAGAGATCTTTGACATTTGTTTGCATAGATATGGAAATAGAACATCAGACTTTGTGGCAATTACTCAATTCCTTCCGTCTAGATTGGATTTAACTACTTTAGTGGAAGGGTCTGAGCTAATGTTGATTACAGAAAATATGTTACAATAAAAAAGTAACAAATCAAATTCTGATTTCCTAATCCCTAGATTTTTGCTACCTGATGGTGTAGACCTTTTATATTTCAAACTTTGACTATTTGATCCTGCAGAATTTTTAGTTTGAAATATCAAAGGACTATGGCAACGGGTTGCAAAGATATATGGATTAGAACATGAAGAGATTTGTTACTAATAATAATATCAAATAAAAGAAATGTAAAAAAAATAATAAGAAAAATTGTATTTGGTAATTCAAGAACTGAGTATGCAGAATGTGATATCTCCTAAAAACATTATTAAATTATTATAAGTTATCTATATGTATTACACTTACTGTGCTTTGCCCATGGATTACGATATTTTCTAATGGTCCCTCCTCGCCCACTCCGCACCCCCATTAGAAATGGGAGATTGAAAAATTGCACGGACATTTTTATCCCTCCCTGATGGCAAAATATTTCTACAATCCCTTTGATAGTTTTTTTTATTATTTTTGTCATTTCAACGTCATAACCTTGAAGTTGCCGGAACTTAATATGCCGGGATATTCATTTCAATCCTTGTAAAAAAACTATCAACTAATTTTTGACTGATTAAAAAGAAACTTAATCATCCTTAAAAATCATACGAAAAGAAGAGGATATCAAACAATTTTTCTAATATTCTGTAAGTCTTTTTATTACAAATTTGAAAATATAAGAATGACCCTCAGTGAAGTTTCTGTAAAAACTGCTATTATTTCTAATTAACGAACTTATACGTAAATCAAGGGGGTAGGGTGGCAGATTGTTTAAGGACCCCCTCCTTTTAAACGTTTTAAAGAATTGGACATAAATAATACTCTTTTTTAAATACTAAATTAATATTTGACTTAACTAGCAATAATCTGCAATCTTTATTTTAAATACATCTTTAACAAAATGTTAATATTTACGGAGCCAATAATCACGCAACCTTTCATGGCTAAATATTAGCTTTATGCATAATTTCGTTTATTCTCCCTTATAAAGTTATAACTAAGGTGTTATACAGGGTTCAAATGAAAACTTCCTTTCTAAATTCTCTTTATATTATCTGAGGTCCCTGGCCTGGGAATCTTTAGTTTATTGATTATAGAGAAATGTCTTTTTCAATCTTGTGATTTATGCCCAAAGAACACAATGTGACTATTTTAGGGCGTTTCTATAAAAAAACTGTGACCGTACCACCCACTCAGTGAGTCAAATTGACGAACCCGCTGTGAAATTGTAATATAAACAAGCATTATTTTCATTTGTGTAAGAGAGCTGTCGGATTCTCTGTTATGCATTCACTAGGTCTACCGCAGACTCATATTTCAATAATGCTGTGGGTCGCGCGTCGAGTGTGAACCGGTATGCAGCCGTGCTGGGACCACCTGGACACCTCGAAAAGCCGCTAACGCTGCCGCCACGCACAAATCCGCGCGATAATTGGCGGTAGAGAGGCGGAGTTAGGAGGGTGGAAATGTGCGAGCTGTCTGCGCGAGACCTGCTGATTTCTGTGTCAACTAGCTACCAGTAGTCAACACATGATCAGTGCATTCACAACTACACAGAGCTGCAGTATACTTTTTTAGAAATTGACATAAAACAATCTCTATGCCTCCAATGTCTGAAACAATGGATATTTTAGGAACTCAAACACGGAAAACTAACTTCAGTATAGATGCTATCATGGCAAACCAGAAAATAAAAGTTGAAGAATTAGATGAAGAAGAAGATGCTATTGATGTTGGAAGAGAGGCAGAAGACATGGTTCCTCAGCTCCAATTAGAAACAAAAATCAAGACGGAGAAGATAAGTAAGGAAAACAGAATAAAGGGACGGTCTACTTGCTCCGAACTAGACGGAGTCAAGTGTACCCTGGACAACAAGGAGCTATGGGACAAGTTCTGTGAGTTTGGAACAGAGATGATTATTACAAGAACAGGACGGAGAATGTTTCCTACCGTGAGGGTTAGCTTCTCCAACCTTGAGACTGAACCTGGCACTAAATACTTGGTTCTCCTGGATATAGTTCCTTGTGACAACAAGAGGTATAGATATGCATACCATAGATCAGCTTGGTTGGTGGCAGGTAAAGCTGACCCACCTCCTCCCCACCGTTTATACGCGCACCCAGACGGTCCTTTCACAGGAGAACAACTTAAGAAACAAGTTATCAGCTTCGAGAAAGTGAAGATTACAAACAACGAAACAGATAACACAGGACAGGTAAAAGTAGTTTTTTTAAATAAGATTTTTCATGCTATTTAAGATTCTATTAAGAATGTTAAACAAAACTAAAACTGGAAAGAAAAGCCGGAAAACTAGTTTGAGAAAATGTTTGAAATAGCGACATTCACATGTCAAAGTTTTGTGTTGAGGTGTCACACAGCTCCGTCGGACAGGACGGATCGGATTCCCCCAGTTCTCCGCTCCTAATTAAACCCGACAGCTGTATGCCTTGTTCCGCAACATCTACTACGTTATCTTACAAAAAAGTATGAAATTTTTTGTTTTAGGTTATCCTGAACTCCATGCACAAGTTCCAGCCCCGGGTCTACCTTGTACGGAGGAAGGACGGAGAAAGTTCCTCTGTCTCCGATATTGAGAGAGAAGAGTTCCGGAGCTTTGTATTTCCAGAAACACAGTTTACAGCGGTTACTGCATACCAAAATCAACTGATTACAAAACTCAAAATTGAATCCAACCCGTTTGCCAAGGGGTTTAGAGACACGTCCAGTTCAGAATATGATGATAATCCATATCCTCACCTTTCAAATATGCCGGGAGGTATGCCAGGAATGGATCCTTTTGCAAGGATGGGAAACCCAATGGGGTTTCATCATGAATCCAACAACAACCTGATGATGGCAGCGGAGAAAGCAAGAATGATGATGATGCACAACAGCAGACCCCTCTTTTCTCCTCCAACAACTCTCCATTCTCATAATTTACCTGTCTCTCCAGAACTACTTGCAAGATATAGCGCAATTCAAACCTTGGGGTTCTACAATCCTGCTCTTCTAGCCGCAGCTCTAAGACATATGCCAAGTTCTACTTCTCCAAGATCTCCAGAAAGTCCTCAGTCCCACCGATATTCTCCATACACCATACCTAAACCTTCACACAGTCCTACTTTATCTCCTGGTAGAGAAGATGAAAGGAGATCACTGAGTCCCCCCTCTTCTCCTTCTTCAGCGATCCGACCCTCTTTCCCAATATGCAGATAGATAGATTTATATGTATGTACAGTAACCGTTTATTGGCTGTGAGTTTACAAATATCATTAAAATGAAATATATGTTCGTAAAGTATAAATGTCAGGTTATCAGCTCTATAATGGAAGTTTAGCCTATGAAGTTAAGAGTGTGTGGGGCCCAACATGTGTAGAATCAGATGGGAGGAGAACTTAAATTTGTTCACGCCACATACCCTAGATACACTCTAGATATATACTCAACCTTATCAGACTTTACTAATCTATGCAATATTAGCGATAGGTAGGACAGATTGAGGATGAATGTACTTTTTAATTACACAACTCGTAGAGGAGTATAAATCAAAAACTACTGTTTATATCTCATCCCATATCATTTTTTAAAAACATTTTATTAGAGTTTAAAAGTAAAAGATAAGTTTTTTTCAAATGTTTTTTCGTCTTTACTTAACCATAGATATTCAAGTTTTGAAAACTTGTTCAGCCTGTAAATATAAATAAAACTAATTCCACTGGCACAGCTAGGCATGCACCACAATAAAGGTTACTGTTATGTTGCAACGGATCAGCGGATAAACTTTTTTATGAAAAGAAAATTTTATATAAATCCTTAGCTATATGTACTTGGTTAGATATTGAGGGTTCTTAAACGTACAAAGACATTGAATGAATGGTTATCTAACATAGGTGCAAAACCAAATAAATTTTAAACCCGTGTTCATATTATAACAAATAAGTTGATGTTATTACATCTTCATAGATGATAAAGATTAAGAATCATAGTTAAGTAGATAGTTAAAAGATTATTATAAAGTTAGATGAGGTTGACCACCCAAACTTGTGGGAACTCTTAACAAAGATTGAAATCAGAAGCTTGAACCTGACCCTCCCCTTCACACCATACCAATAGGCACCTCCCCTCCTTAGTTCTCTCATAGTTTCTCCACCCCCCCCCCCTTCCTTCTTCACGGTAATATCAATGGGTAAACAGGACTTATTGTGAGGGGACTTGAAGTAAATTTAGATATTTAATGGTGTATATTTATGATATTTTCGAAAAACATAAACATTTAACAACAATTGAATGAAAGGAACTGAACGCTTATCTCAAACTATAATTTTCGAATCCCTTGTCTTTGCAACCTGATGGCGTGGACCTTTTGCTATTTCAAGCTCTAAGCATTAGATAAAATTTCATCATTTGAAATATCAAATGTCCATGTATATATATACAAGGATTAAAAAATTTTAACGAAGAAAATATTTTATTGGAGTCTTTTGTTTTGTTGTGACTCTAATTAAAAGTTTTTGTATTATTTATTAACTTATGTTTTGCATCGTTGTTTTGTTTTGTTGTTCATCCTTTTCAATCGTAGACTTGAACTAACCTTCCTGTATCTATTACGTTATGTGTACAAATTGTATACAAAAATCATGAAACATTTTGTACTATGGATAACATTATTTAATGAATTTATACAGATACCCTAGTTATATTGTATACCTGGGAGTAAACCAATTTTTATAATATACCTAGGAATAGACCTAATTATATTGTATACCTGCAGAGTAGACATAGTTATATTGTATACTGGGAGTAAACCATGTTGTATAATATACCTAGGAGTAGACCTAATTATTTTGAATACCTGCAGAGTGGACCTAGTTATATTGGATACCTGGGAGTAAACCATGTTGTATAATATACCTAGGAGTAGACCTAATCATTTTGTATACCTGCAGAGTGGACCTAATTATATTGTATACCTGGGAGTAAACCATGTTGTATAATATACCTAGGAGTAGACCTAATTATATTGTACACCTGCAGAGTAGACCCAGTTGTATTGTATAGCTGGGAGTAATCCATGTTGTATAATATGCCTAGGAGTAGACCTAGTTTTATTGTATACCTGCAGAGTAGACCTAGTTGTATTGTATAGCTGGGAGTAAACCATGTTGCATAATATACCTAGGCGAAGACCTAATTATATTGTATACCTGCAGAGTAGACCTAGTTATATTGTATACCTGGGAGTAAACCATGTTGTATAATATACCTAAGCGAAGACCTCATTATATTGTATACCTGCAGAGTAGACCTAGTTTTATTGTATACCTGGGAGTAAACCATGTTGTATAATATACCTAGGCGAAGACCTAATTATATTGTATACCTGCAGAGTAGATCTAGTTATATTGTATACTTGGGAGTAAACCATGTTGTATAATATACCTAGGCGAAGACCTAATTAATACCTGCAGAGTAGACCTAGTTATATTGGATACCTGGGAGTAAACCATGTTGTATAATATACCTAGGCGAAGATCTAGTTATATTGTATACCTGCAGAGTAGACCTAGTTATATTGTATACCTGGGAGTAGACCTAGTTATATTGTATACCTGGGAGTAGACCTAGTTATATTGTATACCTGGGAGTAGACCATGTTGTATTGTATACCTGGGAGTAGACATAGTTATATTGTATACCTGCGGAGTAGACCTAGTAATATTGTGTACCTGGGAGTAGACCTAGTTGTATTGCATACCTGGGAGTAAACCAATTTGCAAAGTATACCTGGGAGTAGATCAATTTGTTTTGTATGTATACATCGGAGTAAACCAATTTGTAAAGTATACCTTGAGTAAACCATAGTTGTATTTTATATCTTGAGTAAACCATAGTTGTATTTTATATCTTCAGTAAACCATAGTTGTATTTTATATCTTGAGTAAACCATAGATGTATTTATATCTTGAGTAAACCATAGTTGTATTGTATATCTTGAGTAAACCATAGTTGTATTTTATATCTTGAGTAAACCATAGTTGTATTTTTTATCTTCAGTAAACCATAGTTGTTTTTTATATCTTGAGTAAACCATAGTTGTATTTTATATCTTGATTAAACCTAGTTGTATTTTATATCTGGAGTAAACCTAATTGTATTTTATATCTTAAGTAAACCTTGATGTATTTTATACCTGGAGTAAACCTTAGATGTATTATATACCTTGAGTAAACCTAGATGTATTTTATATCTTGATTAAACCTAGTTGTATTTTATATCTGGAGTAAACCTAATTGTATTTTATATCTTAAGTAAACCTTGATGTATTTTATACCTGGAGTAAACCTTGATGTATTTTATACCTGGAGTAAACCTAGATGTATTTTATATCTTGATTAAACCTAGATGTATTTTATATCTTGAGTAAACCTAGATGTATTTTTTATCTTGAGTAAACCTAGATGTATTTTATATCTTGAGTAAACCTATTTGTATTTTATACCTTGAAGAAAGTTGTATTTTATATTTTAAGTAAACCTAATTGTGTAAACATTGAAGTTAACATAGTTGTATTTTATAAATGGATTAAACCTAAATATATTGTATACCAGTTTGGGTAAACCTAGTTGTATTGTATACTGGTTGTTTTGTATATCTGTAGTAAATCTAGTTGTTAATAATTTCTATCTTGAGCAAAACTTGATGTAAAAAAAATCCCCTGGAATACGCAAACTGAAAGCACTGTACAGGGAAAAACTAAAAGTTAGCAGGATTTGCACCGTATTCATGAATAAAATCTGTGGAATAAATTTCTGTAAACTCTTGATGTATTGCATACCGGAAGTAAACCCTTTTAAAATGAATATATAATTGAACCTTTGAGTAGATTGTAAATGCAATTATTTCTTAGAATCAACCCGGGGAAATTGGATTAACTGTAATTCATTTCATTTTAGTATAAACTTTAGAGGAAACTAAGTTTATTTAGTTTCTGTTTAGATTGTACAAACTAAAGTAAATGTTTTCAATCATTACTTCTCTGATTAAAAGACTATTTGGGTATTGAGAAGAACAAAAATGTTTTGAATTTATAGTATATAACCGAATAAATTTGTTTTTCTCATACTTGTGTGTAAAATTAACTAGAAGAGCTACGAGGTCACAAAGCTGTACCAAAGATGTCACATAAAATTTGCCTTCTGCTTTTGTCTCGTGGCAGATCAGGAAATATTTAAAATCCTGAATTAAACTAAAATAAGATTGCACTTAGAAAATTCAATGCACTGTTTAATAAAAATAATTTGCTTTATAAGATCGCACCCTGGTAACGATAATGAAAAGACGCATTTTTGTCGAATTCGATGTGAGGGCGTTACTAATAAAATAACTGTAAAAATAAAGTATGGTATGGGAAGGGGGGGTAGGAGTTAAATTGTTTTACTTGTTCCTTATCCAAACTGTATTATAAGGGTTCAAATATTGATCCAAATCAAACACAACCTCGATCTAAATAAACATAAATAATCTGACAAGCTCAGTTATCTGTGCACACATTTTATACAAGCTTAACTATTTAATAAAAATTTAATAAAATATTTGAAGAGTTTATCAACAATTTATTGTATGGTATATAATATTTGTGTATTTTTCTAATTTTTAGCTATTAACCAAGATGCTAAATATATCCTTGCATTGAATCGTTACATCGTCTTCTTTAAACTTTTTACCAAAATTATTGGGCAGACGCTGAACTCCAACCTTCGAGTGTGCGAGGTGGGGAAGATTTCACTGCAGATTTTACTTTTGTACAACTACATGACCACTTTTTCAACAATTTTCAATTAAATTAGTATTTATTGAGGGTTAGGTTAGGATAAGACACTTTCTGGGCCGGACGCTGCGGCTAGGATAGGCTAGGGGGACGAGCGCTGCGGCCACGGGTTAGGTTAAGTTACGACACTTTCTTTTATTTAGAGTTAGGTTAGGTTAAGACACTTTCTGGGCAAAGCGCTGCGACTAGGACAGGCTAGGGGGCCGAGCGCTGTGGCCAAGGGTTAGGTTAAGTTATGACACTTTCTGGGCCGAGCGCTGCGGCTAGGATTCAATCTCGATCTACAAATGTCATCCCCCCTTAATCATGCTTTTAATTAAGCGCGGCAGTGAAGTCTTCCCCACCTCGCACACTCAAAGGTTGGAGTTCAGCGTCTGCCCAATTATTGGTTCTAAAAACAGCGCGGCGCTCGGCACAGAAATTGTCTGAACTTAAAAATAACTAAAAATATAAGCTGAGATAATATTGCATTAAAT